ATACTTGGAACCATCTAAACATACAGGTTTAGGTTCTAGAATACTTGGAACCATCTAAACATACAGGTTTAGGTTCTAGAATACTTGGAACCATCTAAACATAGAGGTTCAGGTTCTAGTATACATGGAACCATTTAAACATAGATGTTTAGGTTCTAGTATACATGGAACCATCTAAACATAGAGGTTAAGGTTCTAGTATACATGGAACCATCTAAACAAATAGGTTTAGGTTCAGTATACTTAGAACCATGCTGAACATAGAGGATTAGGTTCTAACATTCTTTGAACCATCTAAACATAAAGGTGTAGGTTCTAATATATACATAGAGGTTTGGGTTCTAGTATACTTTGGTTATTGGAACCATCTTAGAGTTTCGGATCTGTAAACGATGTTTTATGGTTTTAAAATCTTTAGAAACCTGTTTGATCCATGATGATCTCCTCCTTCTGCTTGAATAGGTTCAACAATAACTCCTAGAACAACATGATCATGAGATCGTTCAGTTCTTCCCTTTACAATCACAATCACTATCTAACCTGTGATTAATGGTCCTATGATTATACTCTTTACAATTTCACATCTACTCTATCTAACCTGTGATTACTGGTCCTTTAGTTCTACACTTTACAATCACATCTACTCTATCTAACCTGTGATTACTGGTCCTTCAGTTATACTCTTTACAATCACATCTACTCTATCTAACCTGTGATTACTGGTCCTTTAGTTCTACACTTTACAATCACATCTACTTTATCTAACCTGTGATTACTGGTCCTTCAGATCTACTCTTTACAATTACATCTTCAGCCATTGCTAAACATCTTTCATCTTCCGCTGCGTTCTCTCTTAAACAATGAGAAATGTTGGTTTCTGTATTATATATAAACACTAAGCATTGTTGTACAGTGAGTCCTATTATACTGTGGAAAAGGAATATGACTGCTAGACTAAGTTATGAATTTAATATAGCAATTGTGCAGTGTACACAGACTCATATGATGTTTTATTTTAATTTTGTTATTTAAATCAGTAATGAAAAAAACGTTTTTTAATCTCGTATTTATTTAACAAATAAAGAATTTTGAAGAAGAAGAATAAACTATTTCTTTCTAACATCATAAAATACATAAAATACATAAAATATATAAAATACATAAAATACATAAAATACATAAAATACATATATAATCGCTGAAATGTCGCCTTCCTATTCCACAGTTTTATATAGGTTCCTGTGTAATAAAATACAGAAACAAACATTTTATATTTGGAACATTGATTTTGGGTTTCAAGTAGACATCTTTTAAACTTTCGAAACTTAGAGTTTTACAAGAGAACTTTTCCACATATTTTCCAAAGAACTTTTCACAAAAAATATCCAGGTTTAAGAACAGCAGGAGAGGATAATGCTAAGTTGTCTAAAAGTCTTTCAGGGTAATTCAAGTGCCCCACAGATGACAATGCCCGATTCACAACGGTACCCTTAAAAGCTTTGTCTGATCAAGTATAAATTAAATATAATGCTTATAATTTTAAAAACTGATTATTTTCAATTGTGGTTTCTCTGCTAAAGTTCGTATTTCTACTGCAGGAAAACATATACGAATGATCAGAATTAAAGACTTTTAAACACTAAAAAACGTCAATATCTTATTTTTTAACCGGAACGGAACCGTTTTGAACAGTGCATTTCCGTCTTTGAACGGAGGGTCACGAGACATAATGCTAACGAACTTGAGCATAAACATGTTTTAAGAGTTACCTTGTAAATTCGTTCAGCGGATACTTATATCTTGGAAAATCAGAAACCTAAAAATTAATTGCTTAAAAAAAAAACTAATGAATACATTTAACCTGCCATGGTTAGAGTGGAATATATGAATATATATTGAACCTGCCAGGGTTGGAGTAGAATATATTAATATATATTGAATCTGCCATGCTCAGAGTGGAATATATGAATATATATATTGAACCTGCCAGGATTAAAGTGGAATATATGAATATATATTGAACCTGCCAGGGTTGGAGTGGTACATCTATCTTGTGAATATACTTGGAGTGTGTGCAGGCAAGAGATGCAGCCGTCCTACCATGGAACCCACCATGGAAGGATAGAACGGAGAGGTTAGGTGTTCCAGGACTCTAAACAAAAGTTTAAGAAGTTTTAAGTCTCTGAAATTAAAATTTCTAATATTTCGATCTTAACCTGGACAATTGAAAATACGCAAATTTGAAAAAGTTGTCACTTATCTTGCTTTTTCTCTTTACAAGTCGTTTCTTCAGTACTCAATTCAAATTAGAGATTAAGAGACATCTCCTACTCCCAAATCAGAGATTTAGAGACATCTACTACTCCAAAATCAGAGATTTAGAGACACCTCCTACTCACAAATCAGAGATTTAGTGACAATTCCTACTCCCAAATCAGAGATTTAGAGACATCTCCTACTCCCAAATCAAAGATTTAGAGACAATTCCTACTCCCAAATCAGAGATTTAGAGGCATCTCCTACTTCCAAATCAGAGATTTAGAGACATCTCCTACTCCCAAATCAGAGATTTAGAGACATCCCCTACTCACAAATCAGAGATTTAGAGAGATCTCCTACTCACAAATCAGAGATTTAGAGACATCTTCTACTCACAAATCAGAGATTTAGAGAGATCTCCTTCTCCCAAATCAGAGATTAAGTGACATCTCCTTCTCCCAAATCAGAGATTAAGAGACATCTCCTTCTCCCAAATCAGAGATTAAGAGATATCTCCTACTCCCAAATCAGAGATTAAGAGACAATTCCTACTCCCAAATCAGAGATTAAGGGACATCTCCTTCTCCCAAATCAGAGATTAAGAGACATCTCCTACTCCCAAATCAGAGATTAAGAGACAATTCCTACTCCCAAATCAGAGATTAAGAGACATCTCCTTCTCCCAAATCAGAGATTAAGAGCTCCCAAATCAGAGATTAAGAGACATCTCCTACTCCCAAATCATAGATTTAGCGACAATTCCTATTCCCAAACTTTAATCTCGAAGTGACTCAAGACTGGAGCAGGGCTTGTCAATTGTATTCACTTGATTGATCAATGATCAATTATATCTACCTAAACGATCACGGATCAAATCTGTTTACCTGATTGATCATGCATGAATCGATTTCCTCTTGAGTAAACGCCCTTCCTCCTCTCTCTTTCTCCATGTGCTTGAAGTGCATCAGCTTGAACGCGTTCTCATTGGAGCAGCTACCACACATCATAGTTGTGATCTAGAAGATTATCATGTTTATTGGGATACCCTGCATTTTTATTTTAGTTTAGGGTTGTTAGCATACACATACAAAAAAAAATAGTACGATAGATATGAGTAAACCTGTTTCCAGTTCGTTTTCGGTGTATTTTCTATTTTTTGCTTTGCCCGCTATGTTGAATAAGAGATGCTTGCCATATGTTTTGTGTTTTACCCCTATCCTATCATTTTCCATGATATTTGGGTGTACCCTATAAACCATAGTGAGAACAATTGTTTTACACAGGCTTATCTTGCTTACTAATTTTGTTAGGGACACCCTGTATGATAATTTATAAATTTTAACTAAAAGTATACCTTCGAAATAGAAAAGCGTGGCATTTTAATATAATTAAAATTTTAAATTGAGACCCACAAAACTATGAAATAATACTGCTAATATAGTATAACTATTTTATCTATTAAAGAATCAATAAGACTACCGAAATGTCGTCTTCAAATTTCACTGTTTTATGCGTCTCTCTTTATCCTGGAGAATTGTACCTGGTCTAGTCCTTTCGGAGCTACGGAGAGAAGAACCTGAGAGAGTTGTTGAACCCAATCTGCTCCTGGATATACACCCAGAGCAGGACGGTTTACTAGTGCACGCATGGCGGAGTCACTGTCGAAAGCGGAGAGTAGAGAGGGATGATTGTAACCTAGATTGGAAATTTCGTTGTTATCGATGATTAGGGCCGGGTAGGGATCGGGACCGGTGGGCGGGAGTAAAAGGTGAAAAATTCTTAATGAAAATTTGGAATGATAATTTTTTTTGATACTTAAAAATCGTTAGGATTGTTTTTAAATTAAAAGATTTTAACATCACATTTTTCAAGCATCTCTACAGTTAGAGTTGTTTCAGGAACTGAACGTGTAATTTCAAGTGGCTCTTCATTTAAAGACGACAATTCCCTATTCACAACGGTACCCTTTAAAAATTTATCTGATCAAATATAAATAAGATATCAATGTTTCATATTTTAAAAACGGTTATTTTGAATTTTTTTGTGGTGGTTTTGTCGAGTTCGTAAATTCGAGGCGTATCAGACGTACTACTTCAACTGTATAGATAATATCTGTCTGTTGTATGGTTACCTATAGGTATAGAGGAGATCTGAGTGAAGAGATCAAGCATCACGTTACCGTCTACATCAACCAGATAGTTCCCGAAGGATTTATCGTAATCCGCGAAGAAATGAACAGAATCCATCATTTGCATTTTACTAAAACATTTTAAAATTGTTTCGCTAAAAAGTGGAACAAAAATTGTTTTGAATGTAAATTAAAAATCCAATTAATTTTCGTGATTTTTGTGTCAAAGTTTTTTTGAGTATTTTCATAGAATTCTAAAGAATAACCTGAGCTGAGAATGTAATTCCTTGGATTTTGGCCCGGGAACCTCAGTTAACATCTTGGGTTCTAAACAAGAATCAACGAAACAGAGGACTAATAAGGGCTAATAAGGACTAATAAGGACTAATAAGGACTATAAGGACTGTAAGAACTATAAGGACTAATAAGGGCTAATAAGGACTAATAAGGGCTAATAAGGACTGTAAGGACTATAAGGACTAATAAGGACTAATAAGGACTATTAAGGACTTTTAAGAACTAATATGGACTATAAGGAGTATAAGAAGTATATGGAGTATAAGGACTATAAGGACTATAAGGGATATAAGGGCTATAAGGACTATAAGGACTATAAGGACTATAAGGACTATAAGGACTATAATGACTATAAGGAATATATGGACTATAAGGACCATAAGGACCATAAGGACCATAAGGACTATAAGGACCAAAAGGACTAAAAGGACCATAAGTAACCAAGTAACCAAGATAAGAAGGGCTATAAGTACTAGAATGGGTAGAAGGACTAACAGGACTAGTAGGCATAAAGAACTAAAAGGACAAGGAGGCCTAAAGGACTAAATGTCATGGACTAGAATGGCTAAAATGATTAAAAGGACTAAAAGGACTAGACTAACTATAAGGACTATAAGGACTAGAAGGACTAGAAGGACGAGGAGGACTAGAAGGACGAGGAGGACATGAAGGATCAGAATAAAAAAGAATAGGAGGCATAAAGGAATAAAAGGACTATGAGATATAGAGAACTAAAAGGACTAAGAGGCATAAAGGACTAAAAGAACTAGAATGACTAGACGGAGTAGAATCACATAGGACTAAAATAGATAAAATAACTATTTTCTACGTGTATCTTTTGGCACAACTGTTAATAGCTAATTTAAGGCTATACATAGATAAGATAAGGGAGGATACATGTAACTCAGAAATTATAGCCATAAAAAATAGCCCCTCCCCCTGATATAGAATTATGACTCGTTTCCCCTTACATGTATTTATTTACTTCAGTGGTATATACAGGAACTCGTACAGGAGGCGGGCCTAATTTTTGTTTCCTTTCCAGGGGGCTCAGCACCTGTAGAGGCCTGAAATTTCACTGAGGGGGGGGGAGTCTGAACCCACATAGCCCCCCCCCCTGAATGCGCCTTTGATTTACTTGAGATATTAAAGAGCTTTAATTTGACGACCCCGCTCACTCAACCCAACCCATCCAGTCCTTAATTTATGACGCAAAAATATCAGTTCTGTTGGTTTTAAGATTTTTTTATCTTATCTGTGTGGGTTTGACAGGTTTTCACCAACCTTCGGGCTCCTTAACTAGCTGGGACGCAGCTTGGGATACATTCCGAGCCTGGTAGGAGGGTATCCGGTGGAGACGGAGTTTGCTCCATACTTTTTTCGTGGTTCCCAACATAGTTCTTATACTGATGGTTGAACTAAACTAGAAGAAAACTGGTTTCTATGCGCAGCAGACTCCGGGATCCTCAATCTATAGCAACAGGAACCTTGCACAAAGATCAGCTGTGTATTGTTTAGGACCAGGAGCAAACAAACCCTCTCAACTCCTAGACAAAAAGAAAATATATTTTCACGAAAATGATTCATCTCAAATAACCGATATTAAAAAATGTAATAGGAAAAAGTTTTGATATTTTTACTCCGTTCACTCAATTCAAATCGTACTTGATTTCAATTGCGTGTTACAATGTTTTATAAAGTAGATGGAGGGGGGGGGGGGTAGGACAGGTTTATGCGTTATAATGGCCCAGCAAAATCTTGTACTTACCATCTCTGTCAAGATAAAAGTTGAATTTTTAAAGGTTTTATAAAGCTTCTCAAATATGTCGTATTCGTGAGACTAAAAGATGAACCAGACCAGAAATATTTGTGGAAACTTTACAAATGGGAAAATGGGGGTTGCTTCTAAATGAATTGTACCTCGACACACTTTATATATCGTCACTTTATATAGAAAAGTCCCCCTCCCCCCCAAAAAAAAAACCCCACCGAGAAGTCCATAACTTTAACTAAACACCTTAAAACATGACACACAAGATTTCAAAACACCCAATGTTAAAGGCCGAATTAATTGAAATTATTGCCTTGTAACTTTTCCTTATTTTGGGCAGGTTAAATCAAGATACGTTTAAAATTAAGGGTCCTTGCGTTAAAACTTCCTGAATGTGAAATAATGCCAGTTTTCTCATGCATTGTAATTTATACTAAGTTTTGCGACCTCGTTCTATGTATTTTTAATTCTTAAATTTTGTATGAGGGCGTTCTGTATCCACCCTCAAACTATACCTCACAAACTAACCTCACAAACTAACCTTACAAACTAACCTCGCAAACTAATCTCACAAACTAACCTCACTAACTAATCTCACAAACTAATCTCACAAACTAACCTCACAAACTAATCTCACAAACTAACCTCATTAACTAACCTCACAAACTAACCTCACAAACTAACCTCACAAACTAATCTCATAAACTAATCTCACAAACTAATCTCACAAACTAATCTCACAAACTAATCTCACAAACTAATCTCACAAAATAATCTCACAAACTTATCTCACAAACTAATCTCACAAACTAACCTCACAAACTAACCTCACAAACTAATCTTACAAACTAATCTCACAAACTAACCTCACAAACTTACCTCACAAACTAACCTCACAAACTTACCTCACAAACTAATCTCACAAACTAACCTCACAAACTAACCTCACAAAGTCACAAACTAATCTCACAAACTAATCTCATAAACTAATCTCACAAACTAATCTCACAAACTAATCTCACAAACTAACCTTACAAACTACCCTCACAAATTAACCTTACAAACTAACCTCACAAACTAACATTACAGAATAAATCTCACAAACTAACCTCACAAACTAACCTCACAAACTAATCTCACAAACTAATCTCACAAACTAACCTCACAAACTAACCTCATAAACTAATCTGACAAACTAACCTCACACACTAACCTCACACACTATCCTCACAAACTAATCTCACAAACTAATCTCATAACTAATCTCACAAACTAATCTCACAAACTAATCTCACAAACTAATCTCACAAACTAATCTCACAAACTAATCTCACAAACTAATCTCACTAGAAACCCCAAGTTAACCTAATTGAGAATATCTGGTTTAATTAGATAAATATCTTTATCTGGAAATTTCGTCCCACGGACTGCATGCAAGTACCCAAAGCTGGAAACCCATAGATAACAAACCCAAATTTTCATGAATTCATATAATGTATAAAGTTCATTTAATCATTTATATAGAAAATGTCGCGAAGGATTAATTTGGCACTTTTATTCCAATCGGTGTTCTGAAGATTTTTTATTGTAATTCTTGGGATCAAGCAGTAATCTCCGTTTTATGCATAGAGAATAGAATATATATTAGAGGGGAATTAAGTGAATCTCTCGGTATGAATTTTTTCAATTCCTTTCAGCCTGAAAGGGAGTTCAAAGTGTACAAATCATGTAAATGTTCACAAATTATATGCAGTAGAGTACATTAATACAGCATGTTCCCTAGACTATCCATTTCAATTTCGAATTTTTTAAAACTTTTAAATAAACTTTATAATGAATTTGGTGAATAAAAAACATCATTTGATTTATAGTTATAACGGAAAATCATGTCGTTTGTAAAGTGAAAGGCATAGAGTCTATGTGAAATGATCATTGGTCAATTATGAAACCAGGATAAGACCAAGGTTATATTGCAAGGAAAGTTATTTTAGAGGTGTACGCATCTTTTGTCGTGCAGTGTACTGTCTCTGGGCGGTAATGTAAACACAAGACGGATGTCACAGCCTGACATGGGATCCATCTTTCACATAAAAAATCAATGAAATATTCTGGTCATAGGAAACTATTATGTGAATTATCAAAATTATCAAAATTAAATGCTTTTAACCTCCTCGGATACTAAACGAACACTGATGCATCTATTCTTGTTTACAACTTTCGCCCAGAGAGAACTGGTTTTAATATATACGCGGAGTATACGCGACTGCAATTAACTTTCCTTGCATTATAACCTTGGATAGGACTATAAAAACTAGCTGAAACAAACTCTTAAAATATGACAATTCCAATGTTAATATTAATCTTTCGTCTTGAATATGATCTTTCCAGGCCGTAATTTGGCGAAGAAAGAAACAAATTTACAGTTGCCGGGAGTCATGAATATAAAGAAACAGACAGTATTGTATTCCTTCCGCCCCGTCGTCTCTGAAGTCTCATTCTTTTTGGGTAACCCTGCTTGTCTAGAGCAAGGTGCATGTGTGTCCCAGTAAAGATGATATTCATATTCATATTCATATTTTATTCAACTACAAAGCACGAGATAATACAAGTAAAAAAATCACAATTTACTATGTAGTTTGGACCCGCCTAACCAGAGTAGGTTGTTTTAATTGGTTGGCCCACTATAAACGAATGAGAATTGCAGATAAAAACAATGTACATTGTACATTTTAAACATAAGAATGATGATAAATCAGGAAAATGGTATGGAGGAGGTGAGGGAGTATAAGGGAAAGGGAGGATACTCAGCGTAAGGGTTGGAACAGAGGGTAACATAAGTTATTAAAATCATGTTTATGAAATACAGGGTGATAAAAATAGTAAAGACTAAGTTTATCCACATGATACACAGTTTTTTTACAGATATAATTTGCATAACTATCTAAATAGATCTTGGTGACTTTTCTTTTAAACGATTTTGCAGATTTAGTTTCTTTCAGCTCTAATTCAATAGAATTCCATATTTTTGGAAATAAGGCAGAGGGAAAACATTCTAGGGTTTTAAAGAGAACCCGCTCAAGTTTATATGATTTTGTTCTATTTGGTTCAGCTAAAGAATTAAACATATCATGGAAGGAAGCTGGAAGTTTTTCATAAAAGTATTTATGCATAAAAGATAGAACACCTAGTTTTTATGTATCATCAAAATTTAGGAGTTCTAATCTGAAAAATATTGGATCTGAATGTGCCTTAAATGAACTATTATTTACTGCTCTAATTGCCCTTTTTTGCAGAGACTTGATTTTCTGTAGTTTAGCATTTTTTACGCCCCCCCCCCCATGTTATAATTCTATACTCAATATGTGGCCTTACAAGTGCATTATAGACTAGTAGACGAATGTTTAACGGTAAAATGTTTTTAATCTGAGCAAAAATTGAGCTAGCAATCTTATTGGAAACATGTTCAATTTGATAGTCCCAATTTAAAAATTCATCAATTTTGAGTCCAACAAATTTGACATATTTATTTGTACAGTCAGTTCCTATTCTTTCTAGTATCTCATTTCCAATTTTTAATTTGCAGTTCTCAGGATCAAAATGCATATTTTTATTCCTAAATATCATAAACTTTGTATTGGAAACATTTAGTGTTAAACGGTTTGCCTGAAACCATGCAGCCGCCTTTTTTAGTTCAAAGTTCGCATCAATTACTAAAGTTTCGATATGTGGAGATGATTTTAGAAAACTAGTGTCATCAGCAAATAGATTAGTAAAAAAAGACGTTGCTAAAGGCAAATCGTTTATGTATATGAGAAAAAGTAGGGTCCCAAGAACACTTCCCTGAGGAACACCACATAAAATTGTTTTTTCTTTAGAAAAAATACCATTTATACAAACATATTGAGTCCTATTTACTAAATAGTTTTGAAACCATGTGTTAGCTACATTTTTAAAAGCAACAGTCAAAAGCTTTCTTAAGATCCAAAAAAATTTCCAGTGTAAATTCTGGTTGGGGTTTATTAAGATTTTCGTAAATTTTATTCATTAGGTGTAGTAAAGGTTGATTAGTATTATGTTGGGGTCTAAATAAAGCCTTGAAAAGTAGAAAAAGAGAGGTCGCCCTCTCAAAAGTACAATTTATAATTTGTTTTTTTTCTCTATTAAAAAGGTCAAAATTCAACCAAAACCTTGACGACGACATTTAAAACTATTCACATAGTATCATGTATCGTGCGACCTAATGTAAATTGGAATTTGACATAAAACTTCTTTTCATTCGAACACAAATTAAATAAGAAATTACCAGAAACTCTTACAGCTTTATTTATAAACTACCTTGACTGGTGATCTACGCAATTTTTCCGATCCATCTAAGAACATTCCCGTGGTCATACCGAGTTCTCCAGTCAAAATTTTACGCATTAAGAAAAGAAAAATAAATTACTACAGATTACTGCGTTTTCTATAGTTTCTTGGAGATATACAGGGTGTCCCAAAAAAATGGGAATTCAGTGACGAATTCGATATCGTCTTTATGAATAATTCTTTGATTTAGTATAGTGATACCTACTGAGAAAGCTGTAATCTGTAAGAGTTTCGTCTGCTATGTTTACATTTTGTTTGTTTATGTTTTGACTGCAACCGGTTGTACTTAGTAAAACAAGAAAATTGCAGTATACAAACAGAGTAAACTTGTCAGTCTTCACTGTTCATCTTGTGGAGACATTATAGGCACATCTTTGCAGTCTTTTACCCTTTTCATTAAATAAACTTTAG